TTGTAGACTCATCATGAAAAATGAGTTCTTAAACTGCTCCCCATCCCAGTCTCCCAGGTCTCTTTTTAAGTACTGCAAACCTCTTAAACTCTTTGGGGGAGGGGAAAAAGGGGGGGATGTTGTTACTTTTGCTAAAATTTGGACAATCACATCATAGGCTATAGTCCTGTTTTATTGAGGTCGTATTTATAACAGTTCCTTGTCCTTTAAATATGTAAGTTATAACATACAATAGAAGCAACATAAGACCACCTGAACAAATCTCATACTCACTTGTTTGCTGGCTTCTGATAACAGTACCTCAACCTCATCAAGAACGAGATGACAAAGTCTAAGTAATAATAAACTATGGTGTTCAAGCAGTCTTAAAAGGCTGTATGGTGTAGTTACAATCACTTCACCTGCATGGTGGAAGGTAAAAAAAAAAAAACTGGCAACACTTCAGCTTTCATTTACAAAAGCACTGTTATCAATTCTTGTTGTTTTACATCATGCACTTGGTCATTTTATTTTTACATTAAAAATAACAAAATAAACAAAAAAAAGTTCCCAGTAACTGGAGTTCAAGACAATTTTGTCCAAATGCACATTTGTATCCAAAAGGAAGCTCCAAGGCATGAGCACACCCAGTATACACACATGGACAACCATTCAGAAGGAATCTTTTTAAAGAATTTTATACGGCCACTGGGATCTACCTTTGGTTCCCGATTTAACTGGTCTGTGATATTTAGGGCACAAAAATGGCTAAAATTGCCTTAAATGGCAGAACAGATAATGCTGCATCTCCCAATCCTGTTTTCCATGCTGGGAGTGAAATGCAACAAATTCAAGTAACAGTGCAGTATCCTGTTTCTGTTTCCAGCCCCAAGTTAAGGAGGTGGAAAAAAACCCACCACACTTTAAAAGATATTTTCCACGCCCCTTCCCTTCATAAAATGAAAGATCCAATTCTTTAAGTAAAAAAAATGAAGCATTCAACATCTACAAACTCCTACCAACTTCTGCAAACTGTACAGATAGTTTTGGAAAGGACTGCAAGTCAGAGGATAGGAATAAACAATACAAATGTAGGTCTACAGATCTCCCTAACAGTACTTGCTTTAAAAAAAACAACAATAATTTTGGGAAACAAGTCTAGAAATGTGGGTCTAAATATGCAGCATGTAATCCTATAATTCAAATCTGCTGAAATGAATAAATACAACTGATAGTTATGCAGTCATGTCAAGCCTCAATGTATGACAGGCCTACCAATTAAGAAACAAGATATAAAACTAATGTCAATCATACCCTGAATTCACTCACAAAATACATCACAAAGAATATACATTACATACAGAAATATACAGAGTTAACTGGCAATTTTTAAAAAGCCCTCTCATGCTGCCTCAGCAAAAAGCCATCAATATTTTAATTTCAGCTATCAATCCAGGGTCAACAAAAATATATTTTTAAAGTGTTGATCTTATTTCAATACTCTCAGCCACTATCTTTTCTTATTTCCAATTACTTATACTCTTTGCAATTTGCCCACCAACAGGAGTTGGGTAGATTGCCCGTTTGTGATTCGGCAGTCTCTTGTCCACTTCAATTTTTTAAACTTAACATTCCAAATTGTACATTAAGCTAATAATATGCACTAGCTTGACTTCCTATTATCATCACACTGTACTTTTTTAACCTCCTGCCTGCATAAATGCGGCTTGCAGAGCCATCATTTATAGGGCCTTGAGAAAACTGTGATTTCGCAGACTGTGTGGATACCGTGAAATTAGTCCCACATCACAATCTTTAATGGTTGAAGACTGTGCCAGAAAAGCCCACGAAAGCACAGGTTTCCCTTTGCAGGCTGGCAGCATTCCAGCCTGCAAGGGGAACTTGGGCTTTTGCACCTCCAGCCTGCAAACAGCTGCTAGGGACATGGCCAGGATACAGCCAGGCAAGCTTATAGGAACAACCCCAGCAGTTGGATGAAGGTAAGGGCATGTGGGGGAGGTAAGGGGGGTTTCAAGGGCCAGGGTGGTGCATGGGCGTGCCTGCCACATGTGCGGCACATGCAGGGGTAAACTATCATTTTTCACAGAACATACAGGAACCCATTTGCCAAGATCAATGGTAGTTCCATAAATATTACGTGAAAAACGATACTTTACCTGCACATGTACTGCGAATTATCTATAAGAAACCCGTGATTTTCTCAGAAGCCCCTACATGGCCCACAGGGCTCCCCATAGGGCAGGAAATCTGACAGCAAGGGAGTGGTGGCCATTAATACGGTGACTCTCCCTTCACCCAATTCCCCAAGCCCAAACTCCACATTACTGGTTGCAGCCAGGCTACACCCCTTTTCACCCCACAGGGCCAGATTGCAGCTGGGCTGCTCCCTGCCCCCTTCCAACCAGCCAGATGGTGCCCACTACACCTGTCCTGCTGCTGAATCAAGACAGCCAGCAGATAGACAGGGCACTGCCCATCCAGCCCACTGAGGAAAAAAAGGACAAGTACCACTGTTTTACAATATTCTTCACATACTCCATACTGGAAAATAACTGCCTTAGTTTTTATGTTGTACAGTACAATGAGTTCCCACTTCTAGAAAATAACATAGTTCCTTTTTGGCCATGTCTGCATATCACACAGAACAGCCTAAACTTGGTCATCTCCAAACAAGAAGTCTACACTAATACCTCAGTTCAGTAAGAGATTGTGATGTTTGTCTCTATGGGCATTTATAGATGACACATTAAAGTGGGTTAAATGCCCTTTTCCACTGGTTTAATGGTGTTGTTATTTGCACAAGTTTGCAAATTCAGCAGTGTACAGGCAGTCCTCAACTTACAATGTTTCGAGTTACGTTTTACACTTACAACGTTTATAAATAGACACCCTCTCTCAACTTTACAACACCAGTTTTGACTTACAATGCTTGATCCGATGCAATGCCATGCCAGCAAACAAGTTCGCTGCATCACTCATCTCCCTGGAGAACATCTGTCTAAACTTCCTTGGACACTTCCTTTAAGCAAGCAGACAAGACTCCAGAAAAACCTGCGCCCAAGACTCCTGAGAAGACTCCAGCCAAGAACCAAAAAGTCCAACCAAGAGTCCTTCAAAAAGTCCAAAGTCACCTCAAAGAAGCCCTTCCAAATCAATAGGATTGCTATTTACAATATTAATATATCAACATTAATATATTTCTCATCTATAATTAATCAAGTACAAAATTCTGGGGTATTTTTGGTGAAAATAGTGTATTGGGCCTTGGTTCAGGAACCAATCCCCCATTTATAACATTGTTTCTTATGAGAAAATTGGTTCCAAGTTAACAGCATCTTAAGTTGAAACGCTGTTTCAGGAACCAATTGTGTCGCAAATTCCGAGGAGTTTTAGTTTGCTACCTTACAGCCGCAAAGGGAATCACCAGGCTCCATGTGGCTCAGGAGCTGTGCAGACAGCTCCAGCAGGCAGCAGCCCGGCAGTAGCCCAGGAAGGCAGGCTGAACTGAAGGAAAAAAAAAAGTGGCGAGCCTGATCTTTCCCCCCCCCCTTCCCTGGAGCCTGCATGAGCTGCACAGGGGCCCAGTGCTTCCCTCCACAGTTGCAGTGCCCCCCAGAACCATCCAAGCCAGGTACCTGAGAGCAGGTGCTGCCTGGGCGCAGGGAGGGGAGGGGGGCCATCACTGCTGTGGAGGGAAGCACCAACCCGCAGCTTGCTCTCCCTTCCCCGCCGCCAGAGGCAGGTAAGGACACAGGTGTACACAAGACAGGGGTTTACTTCGCCCTAAATTGAAGCGGTGCTTTTAAAAAAAAAGCACCACTTCAATTTAAAACCTACCGTGTCATCTACAAATGCCCTAAGGTATGTAATTAGAGCATCACTTTCATAAAGTCTCAAACAGATTTGCTGCCTGTAAGAACTTTAGATTCACTGGCAGGATAGCATAGAGAATTTATCATCTACCATTTAACTGAGCTCTTCCAAGTGCAAATAATCCATCATTAGTTGTAAATTTATGCAGTTTCTTTAAAAAATGCATCAAATTGGGATTTTAAAATACCAGACTTAACATTTTGCAAAATCAGTTTAACCCATATCATTTTAAAACATAAGCAAGCAATAAGTGATTCTTACATCCTTGTAGAAACTTCATATTTTTGACCTCTTCGTTTTTCAGTCCAACTAATAACAACATTGGATGCAACTGTCTGGAACATCTGCCATATTTTTTCAATAATTCAAAAACAAGTTGTGCTTTCTTCCATCCAGGACACACGATTAGCGTTGTTGGCTATATGCATACAGATATACACACACACAGACATCAGTCTACAGAATTTTAGTTTAGAACCAAAAAAAAATAAATCTCAGGATGCTAGGGGTTATACTATAGAAATGTTATCTAAGATAATAACATCTGATTGATCCCAAAGTGTTTAAAAAAGTAAAAGAGCATGTTAAACTATACAGAAAGCATTTTTCCCATTGAAACTTCAGGAACTCTTTAATATAAAGCAAGAGTACACAATGGTGTACCACAAAAATAAAACCTCTCTTATTCATTGAACACTAAGGGGAAAATTCAGATACGTAAACATTTTATCCAAACTAAAATTTGGCCAAGACCCCAGGGTCTCCTTTAGACTTCATTAAGTTATTTTTAAAAGATACAAGTTCCATAAAATGCTGTAAATGTTTAAATTTCCCTGTTGAGAACCTTCACATTGATTTAACTTACCTCCTTTTGCTTTACAGTAGATCTAATTCAGATGCCAAGGCATTTAAAAAACACACCTGAATAGCCTAAATTTTATAAGTCAATCATTGTATTTAAATTGATACTATATTTGCCCTTAAAATGGTAACACATTAAAAAAGTGAATGCACTTACACCAGGGGTGGGCAAAATACAGTCCATGGGCTGGATCCAGCCTGCCAAGTGATTCTGTCCAGTCCACAGTGGATTCCTTGGCCCCACCTCTGGGCTCATGCCACTTGGCATGGAGTGCGGCCTGCCCTATTCCCAAGTGTGGCTCTCAGGCACACTGAGAGCTGCAGTCCACAGGGCCAGGCAATGCATTGCCAGGGCACTATTGCCCATTGCAAGTGGATGTACAGCAAGTGGATCCTGGCTCTGACCCAGGCCTAAGCCCCAGCCCCACTGCTGTCACCACCCCGCACTCCTGATTCTGTCCCACTCTCAGAAGCTGCTCCCTGCCCACCCACAGCCCCATCCCATCCATTTAGCCAAGCGCACCCTACCCACAGGGGTCCTGGCGGTCTCCACTGAGACCCTACCCACCCATTCCATCCAGTAGCTCCACTCCCCCACCAGGCAGTGTAAACAGCCACAACAGGGAACGAGACTGGGTCAGCACCCTCCCACCTCTCCCAACAGCTCACCAAAACTTTGTAAGTGGCTCTCCAGCCCAAATAATTGCCCATCCTTGACTTACACCATTCCCACTTGGCAATGACTTGTAGCAGACTCTTGATTGCAAAAATGTAAGAATTGGTGGAATATACAACAGAGGATCATTTCCATGATGAGAGATGACAACTACATCACATCCACGAGCTATAGGTGGCCAACAATAAGACTGTGTGAAAGTAGGGCCTATAAACTTATTCCAGAGAAGCTCCTACAAAAAGACAAATGAAAACTGCTAGATCAAAAAAATCTGTCAGTGTTTAAACGTTTAATTCTAAATGTCCTCTCATAAGAAAACAAATCTTTAAATATCTGAAATAAGGAACAATAAAATAAATAAAATAAGAATTATTTTTCCTTGAGCATAGTAGACACTATCTGTTGCAGAAGCTTGTGTGTCTGTTTTTTGTTGCCACTTCTGGATTAATTATATTGTCCACAATGATGCATTCACAGTTTTCCGCTCTTAGATCCACATAGGTTGAAAGTAAAAGTGGCAAACATTGTATGTGATGGAATTACACTAACTTTTAAAATAGGTTTAGAAAAATTGTTCTCCAAAACAAAGCCTATATATGCTTATATTTTTCAAGCATTAACATACTTTGTAAAATGGCAGAAGGTTCCTCAGGGCTTATCTAAAAACCTATTTGTTGGGAATCATTCTGAAGTCAGTTGCTAATGACATCCTTCCAGACTAATAAAACAAAATAAAACCCAAGAAATAATGCCCTGGTATGCAGTACCAATAACAAAGGCACGAAGTATTGCACAAAATAAAATGCTGAGTGGATTTTAAGTCTTTCATCCATTAAAGAAGCCACACACACAAACCAAACTGACCCTTGATATGAAGTATGAAAAAAATTGTTGAGAAAATATGCTTAATTACAGGATCTTAAAAAAAATAATTAAGAAGAGACTCACAGGAAGGATACCTCTTTTGCAAATATGAAAGTTCTGCCAGTTAATTACTTGGGTATTTTTCCTTACTTTTTCATTAACATGATCATAAGTAACTGCCTAGACTGCCCCACAGAAGGGGATGAGGGTCATCCATCCATTAATATGTACGGGGTAAAAATAAATGTGAATATTACCTTTTTCAGATCAACAAGAAGTGGTGCTGTTTCAAGAGATGAACAAGGTTCTATTTTCTTGTTAAAAACAACAAAATGTTGTTCTGCACTGACCTTTAGAAACTCCTAAAAATACACATATTTAGGCACTAAAAAGAAAATATTTAATAAAAATCTCGCCTTTAATATACTACCCCAAAAGTAGCCATAATGTACATCTTATATCAATTTTGCATTTCAAGAAAAGTAGTTACCATATTTACCTGAATCTAAGATGACCCCCCACCATAAGTAGATTCTATATATGAAAAACTTATCATTTTAAAATAATGTTCCAGGTATAAAATCTAATTATTAAGAGCGGTCTTAATGCATCTACCCCACAGCTACAGGGGAAGTGGGGGGGGTGGGAAGAGGGGGGAAGGTGTGGCAGCCTACTTGCCTTCTGCCCCTTCCACTTTTTCCTGCTACAATCTTCCTGTCCCTCTTGCCATCTGTACCCCCAAGCCACAACCCTCCACAGCCTCTGCCCCTTCTCTCCACAGCCCTCCACTTGCCTTCTGCCCCTAGTCTTTCCCTTCCCTCCTTACTATCAGACACTGCTCTGGTTCTTTTTCATTCCAGGTCATAGAGCACAGTATGTGGAAGCACGTTCCCTGCCAGACTATGCAGCACCATCAGGACTGCTGGGCAGGGTACAGTTTCCATGTACTTCATGCCCAAGAGGGAAGGCACCCTCAGCTGGAGCCAAGCTGCACCCATCCGATAGTTCAAGGTGAGGGGGAGGCTGGGGGAGCAGGAAGGCAGAAGCTGCATAGGGCAAGCAGAAGAGTGGGGCAGGCAGCTGTTATGGGTCTGACTCTGGCCCCAACCTGGGCTCAGGGCCAGAGCTGGTGCTGCAACAGACGCATACCCCGCCCTTCCTCCGCACACTTTGTACATAAATCTAAGACCAGAGGCTCCCCTTCCCTCCCTCTTCCCCCCCCACTGATCGGGTGGAGGGGGGAGGCTTATTTGCTTAGATTCAAGTAAATATGGTAACAGTACAAAAGGTTACAAAATCAGCAAACTTCAGTGCTTCTGCATATTCCCACTTGAATGCATTAAAACAAACAGCACCTTAAAGCAGGGTTTGTCAACCAGGGGTATGCGGGAAGTACAACCAGAGAATACATGCAGGTGGGTGGGAACAGTGTGCCACCACCCACCTCCGCCTCCCAGAAGCAGGGCTGGGCAGGGGCAAAGGCAGTGGCCCCCCTCTGCGAGCCGCACAGGCGCCGCCCGGCTGAATGTGGGGGGGTGGGAGCGGAAGCTAACACGCAGCGGCTGCTACCGCCACTCCATACTGCCACCGATCCATGTCTGACCACGCGCCACCTCTCCCTCTTCCCCACACCCCCGAAGCCCAATGTCCGGCCACATGCCACAAAATACACTAGAACAAGTGTTAATAATTAGAACTCTAAATGAAAGTGCAGAATATACACCCTGTCAAAATATAATCCTATCAAACTACAGAGAAGAGAGTTTTTAGTATTTAAAACATTATTCTTGATTATTGCTAATGAACAATTGAAAATTAAAAAACAAAGATAAGTTTATACAGTAATTGTTAAAGAAAGCCAAGTTCTGAAATACCTGTTTCTCATTCTGAAAATGATCTGTTTTCAAAGGATCAGGATTTAAAAACTGCAAAAGCCTGAAAAGTATACAGATCTAAATCCATTAGTAATTAAACACGAAAGAAATACTGCATACATTCTTTCTCAATGCGTCTATTATAACCCTAGGCAGACAAGGTTCTTTGGTCTAATAAAAGATATCAGATTCACCCAATTTAAATAGTTGGAAAACAATTATTAAGCAAGCTTTCAGGTTCAAAAACCCTTCATCAGGCTAAGGAAATTTCAGCAGTTGGTGTGTGCTCTTCCTGGATGGAATGAAAAGTAAAGAAGCCAGAGGCTGGGCTGGTATGCATACAAGACATGTAGTCAGTGAAAATGTAGACTGAGGAGTCAATGGGTGAGAGAGAGGCTGGGGAAGGGGAGGGGGATGGAAGTGGAGAGATACCTGCGGAGTCAGATGTCAGGCAGGTTATAATGTATGCATATCAGCCCAGCCGCTGGGTTATTTACTTTTCATTCCATCCAAGAAGAGCACACACCAACTGCTGAAACTTCCTTAGCCTGACGAAGGGTTTTTGAACCCGAAAGCTTGCTTAATAATTGTTTTCCAACTATTTAAGTTGGTCTAATTAAAAATATCAGATTCACTCAAAGAACCCTGTCTGCCTATATTTAGTCCATGATTTTTAGTATCCAGGAGGTTGATGAAGTGGAGTTCATAGGTTCGTCTCTGGGAAGTGTTTTGTAAGTTTCCTTTGAGGATCAGGACTGAGAATGGAGAGAGAGTGGTGTTCTTGTGAGACCAAACAACAACTGCGCACCAGAATGAATGCACGCCAGAAATCTATCAAAGACAGAAATACCCAATTACCGGTGGGGGCACATTTCTCACAAGAAAACCACTCTCTCTCCAAGCTCTCAGTCCTGATCCTCAAAGGAATCTTACAAAACACTTCCCAGAGACAAGCCTATGAACTCCACTTCATCAACCTCCTGGATACTAAAAATCATGGACTAAATATAGACATTGAATTTATGACACATTATAACCTGCCTGCCATCTGACTCCCCAGGTACCTCTCCACTTTCATCCCCCTTCTCTCTCTTCCTCCCCCTCCCCAGCTTATCTCTCACCCATTGACTCCTCAATCTACATTTTCACTGACTACCCGTCTTGTATGCACACCAGTCCAGCCTCTGGCTTCTTTACTTTTCATTCCATCCAGGAAGAGCACACGCCAACTGCTGGAACTTCCTTAGCCTGATGAAGGGTTTTTGAACCCAAAAGCTTGTTTAATGATTGTTTTCCAACTATTTAAATTGGTCTAATAAAAGATACCAGATTCACCCAAAGAACCTTGTCTGCCTATGTCCTTAGACCAACACAGCTACAACCTACACCCCTATTATAACCCTAAAAACTTGAAAATTCCCTTTCCATATCTGCAGAAATTTTATCAAGAAAAATCACCAATATTAAAACAATGTTTGGCACTGGCCTCTGATGTAAATGAAAACTAAGGGAACTAGCCTTTATATGATGGCCTGTTATTTCTTCAGTTAGGGAAAACTGAATCGAATGGGTTGAAGTGAAAGGGTTTACAAGGTTTCAAAACAGGAAAAATATTGCTTTGTAGTTACCAGTTTGTTGTCAGGTGCTTCAACTTGCCCAGAATTTATCACACACTACGCATTAAAAATAAAAGTACAAAAGGAGGGAAAAAACCGAAGAGTTATATACGTACTTTACACAGCCACTCTTTTCATCTTGTTGTATCTCTTTCAGTTGTTTCTTACATGTGATTTCAAGTAAGTCACTGAAATAAAGAAGTCATCTCATGAATAAACTTTAACACGGGCACAAATCTCACTACAGAAGACTAGAAATAAAAATCAAGGGTAATGCAAGTATTACATTTGGCTATCTGTCCCACTAAGCTGCATCTAGCCATTTAACCAGGCAAAATTACTTGTAGTTCCATATATCCATAAACATTATAAACCAGACTTGGGTCCCAATCAGAAAGAATATGGAACACACACTTAACTTCTATATACACACATATCAGAACGCACATTTAACGTCTTAATTTGGACCTTAATAATAGACAATTCATTCTTTTCATTTAAAGAGAAGCATTAGTTTTATTTTACATCTGAACCAGCCAAAGTAAGATAGCACTTCTTCCCACAAATGCTAGATCTCATTTTAATGGTATAGGAACTTTAGCTGAAAATTAACACTTAAGCAGGTGCATTATAAAAAGACACAAAAAAAAATTAAAATATATTTAGTCATACCTGTCTGTCTGACCAGAAATAGTTATATTTTCTTTAAAAGGAAAGCCGAGAAACACACTGACAGTCTAAGAAGAAAGAAAATAAAACCAGTTAAAAACAATTCCTGCATGACTTCTAAAGCAGGATTTTAGACAAACACATTTTCCAACTAAAAGGATAAACATAACAAATAGACAAACAAACTAGGTATTTACAGGCATTTGGCCTGACAAGAATTGTGGGCAAAATAACAACAGGATTCATGTGACTTAAGACTGAAAAAATAGTAAACAATGTCAACTAAAGGGGATGCGAAGAACAGAGCCTGTCAAGTTTTTCCTCTATTATAAAGGTGGTTGATAAGAGTATTAGTTTTGATGCAACAGATTTATGTAAGGCTTCTGACTTGGAAGCATTTAACACTTTGATTAAGAACATGAAACACACATTGAAGGACTAAAAGCTGGCTAAATGACAGATCTAAAAATGCAGCAGTAAGCACAAAGTAATCATAAAGCCAGTTGGGGGGGAAGGAGCCAAAATTTTTTAGCTCTACACTACAGTTTTTAAGAATTGTATAACAGTGACCTTAAAGAAAATTCACAGACTGCAAATGAAACTAATACTGGAGGAATGAAAAATTAATGAACTGGACAAGTCACAGCTACTGAGCTATCTAAATTGTTTGGTAAGCTCTGTGCAAGCAAACACATCTTAATATATCCAAATCCAAACATCATATGCCTAGAGCTAAAGAATGTAGGCATAGAAGTAGGAAATTTATTTATCCTGGGATGCACCGACTCAAAGAGATATTGGGAGTTGTGAAGGATACCAACTGGACATAACCTGCTAAGGTACTTTTACATATGTTCTAAGTGGGGGGGAGGGGAGGCACGCAGCACTTCAATTACAGCAGCTCCAAGAGTTGCTCCAATTAAAGTACCACATTGTCTTGTGTATCAGCATCCCTGCGCTTCAAAATGGCAGCAGGGTGCTCAAAAAGCTCATTCGACGAGCTAAAGCACCTTGCCATTTTGAAGAACAGGGACACTTATACATGAGACATGGGAAATTGTGGGAGCACTGAAATTACCATGCTCCAGCAGACTCGATTAATTTAATTTGTTCCAATACACTGTAATTAGTGTGTCAGAGCAGCCTCTGCACTAGTGTACAGATACCACTAGATTGTGGCAAAAAAGGCTAATGGGATCTTTGGAGCTAGGGAATCTCCAACACAGACGGATTCATTATTCCACTTTGGATTTCACTACTACCTACCATCTTTGACATTTTTGTATACCCGTGTTCACTTGTCCCCATAAAACAATATTAACTGGATGCTTATCTTGCCGGGATCCTATGACCCCAGCTGACTTCCTGCCCTTTGGGCGGAGAGCTGGACTCGATGATCTTCCGAGGTCCCTTCCAGCCCTGATGTCTATGAAATCTATGAAATCTCTGCATCTGGTAACACTACAGCCATTTCTGGAAACCAATGTCCAGTTGTACTAATACACACACTTTGCTAAAGCACTGGCCAAAATAGGCCTGACCAGCAAACCTGACCAATGCATTAACTCCTCACAAAAAAAAAAAAAAAAGACACTTGGCATATGGGCCTGATGTGCATTGCTACAAAAAGACGGGAGGGGGAGATGGCAATACAAGGTTTAGGACATAGTCCATAAGGTTGGAAAAGGAACGCTCAGATCAGGATGTAGAACAAGCCCATGGGGTACAGGATGGTTTGAGTTATTCAAGATACAGATGGAATGCAATACGTAGCTTTTGATCATTGTATAAGAGGAGAATTGAAAATCAGGAGAACTCTGTAGTGGCCTAGGGGAGCCTGTGTGGTGTTATGCTGACTATCATGTCACAGATACAAATGCCTTAACTCCTGCTGTGCTGTACTTGTTAGGCCAAAACATGCTAGGGCTGTTTGCAGGCAATAAACCTGGCTGATTCTTTACCACCGAACTGAACCTGCTGCTATTCATTAAGACAAGATTTGTGTTGGATTCTCCTGGCTGGGACACTGCAGTTCCTGAGACTTCAACACTGACAATACACTAGTAACACCCAACAAGAACACCACCACCAATCACACCTAACAACAAACATAGGTCACTTGAGAGCATCAAGAATCATTACAGGATTGGAAAACATGCAACACTGTCAAAGGCTTCTACAGCTCAGTCTGCTGTACTTCAGTTATCACAGAGAAGGTTAAGGGTACATTGATCACACTCTGCAAGAACCAACATGGAAAAAAGACACTTAAAAAAACTCTTCAATCTAACAGGCAATGGAACACCAAGATTCAGTGGCTGGAAGCAGCAGCTAGGGAGTCGAACTAGAAATAAGTTACAGTTTTTTTCTTCTAAAACAGTAAGAGTAATTAACTACTGAAATAACAGGTTTTGGAAAGTCATCTAGCCTTCATGATTTTTAAATCAAGACTAGATTTTTTTCTCCTTAAAACATTATCCAGTTAAATAATGAATCCAATGAAGTCCTATGGCACATGAAATACAGGAGATCAAAGTAATTAATCACCATGGTCCCTTCTGGCCTTACCTATGAAAAACTTTATACAAATTTTAAATTTCAAGTAAATGGAGTAGAATACTTACAGACTCATTATGTCCATTAAAAGATGTAGTTGAAAGATTTTTACCATTCTTTTCCAGAAGAGGATTTGAAGCAGTGCGCCCTAAAAGCAACAAATAATTACACTTTACAGCAGAAATCACTAGTAACAACAAACTCCTAAAAAGAATTTTTTTATTTTATAAAGTTACCAGAATGCATGTAAAAAACACATTATAATCTATAGTGGAGCGCCACTTAAGCTATCTAGGAACTGAAAGAACAAAATGTGTCCTAATTACATTGTTTACACTAAAACATTTGTCTGCGTTTTTTCATGTGTGGATATTCCTAAGCCTGTCTAGTGTGCATGTGACATGACATGCACTTTTAAAAACACAGGGAGATAATCTTGCTTTAATGACCCAGCGAACAACACAGTACTTAATTTTGTTCACATAGAGCCTACTGCAGGTGTATGCATAAGCCTGCAAGCTTTTAGCCAAATATATCCATTGCCATATTCTTATGTCCTCAAGGCAAGACTTAAAAAAGGACAGAGCTGTTCCAACTATCACTCACTTATTTCATCAAATGTAGAAATCCCAGTGTGGACGCTATTTCAATATAGGAAAGGTAAAGTCACAATACCCATGGAAAAACACGACCCGTCCCTCCCCGACACCCTGAATATAACAGGGTGCTAGTAGACCCTGTTACTTCGGGGGTCTGAAGGGGATGCGGCTGCTCGAAGAGGGAGGTAGAGCAGCAACACAGAGCCAGCAGTAAACGACGCCAGCTGAGAACAACCCAGTGGGGAGGATTTAAAGAGATAAGCGCCAAGGCGGAAGCTGGTACAGATAAAAACCAGCAGCTGAAACAAGAAGCTGCCCCAGGGGCACCTAGGAGGAAGCCAAGGCCAGAAAGGAACCTAAGGGGAACATGACCCACAGGACGCAGACACGCGGTGGGCTCCAGTAATGCGGAAGAGACGCCATTGAGGGAGTTGGCGTCAGTCACTTACCAGGGCTATTGACACTGAGAGAGATGTCAGGGAGCTCAAACTGTGTGGGACCTGGAAGAGGAAAAGAAAAGAGACTGAGTTAGGAACGGGGCAGCTCCCAAATACCTACTTTATTTCTTGATTGTATCAAAGATCTCCCCTCTGTAGCCACTTGGGTCTCTGAGCCAGTAACTGGCTGAGCAGGAGTGAGCAAAATAAAACCTATGGCTGTTTTAGTTGAGCACCTGAAATCCATCTGGTAATTCACTGATCAGGATTAATCAATTAATTTTTTCCCATGAAAGATGTGGCAGGTGAGTTCCGGAGAGGAGTGAGGAGGGGGGGTCACCCTTCCCCGTAACACTGAGCATTCCAAGTAAGCAACAGCATTTATCCAAATGACTCCCATGGTAGGTTATTAGCTGCTACTCTTCAAGCAGCTGGATGACAGAGTCCTTATTTAAACAAATGATAAAAAAAACAACCTTGCCAAAACGGACATCTGATGAAAAGCTGGTCAACACCAAAAATGAACCAAAATTCCAAATAGCTTCGACAGATTTCAGAATAGAAACTCCAACTCCAGAGGAAATAGAGCATTCCTTCAAAGAGGAGGGAACCCAAATGCCATTCTGAAATCCTAAGAAAAAAAACCTGAAAAGCCTAGGTAATTTATGCAAGTGCTTTGAAAGATACAGGTATCCAGGTTGTAGCCATATTGGTCTAGAGGAAAAAGCATACACTGAAAGATACAGGCCTCTACATGTTCAGTGTTAAGAAGCTTAGTCTTCACAAATCATTAGCTTTATGGGAGAAAAGGGGAGAAGAAACTACAAACAGATCTATCAAGTCTTGAACTAGTTCTAGAAAAAGATATGGAAGTTTGAGAATTAATCTTTATGAAAGAGAAAGTATATGGCTGACCAGTTATTAGAAGCTTACACACTGTAACAACAACTAAAGTACTGAAAATGGCGAAGATGAAACAAAGGGAATGGTGTCATTAGTTAAAACCAGACTGTCAGAAAGTCATATCTACTAGTAATTTAGAAGCTGAAGAATGAAGAGGAAAACTCCAAGCAACTGTCCATTGGCAGATGTGCAAAAAAAGCAAGTACTCTAAACTAGTCTCTGGAAACTTGAGACATTTCCTTATTTAGCTATAAGATTCAAGCTAAATATTTAAAGTTAATGTGGAAATGTGCAATAGCTGACTATACAAAACTAAAGAGGAAACTGATATACCTCAGCAGATCAATTTAAGCTTTTTCCACACAGACACTACATGGCAATTCTGCTTTTTCATGTACCATAGTCACCAGCCACAAAAACACCTATTAGACTTAAGGGAATTTGGTACAGGAAATCTGGTATGTACAGTCTGCATTTTTACATGCGACAGAGGTTGATGCAGCAGTCTGACAAGTCCACAACAAGCTGCAATTAACAGAATAACCTGCAATAAATGTGACTAGATGTTTCAACAAAGTAACAAATCACTTTAATAGCTGTATCTTTTAAGTACCTTCAAAGGGAATCTCTATGGTGTATACCGTTTTCCTGACCAGCCCTACCTAGAAAGATCTAAATTACAGACCCAAGGGATTAGGAAAATGATGAGTGGTCCTCATAACTGGCCATGAAATTTCTTAATTACTGGTGAGGTCTAACACTGAAATACCTGAAATCCCACAGCTAGAACCTTGGGCAGAGATTATTTTATCCATGAATCTCAAATTACAGAAGGGAGGTGAGTCACGGAATGAACAGTTAATAGCTGAACTAAGGCTGAAAACAGCGACAGCCATGCCCAAAGGCAGTGGTTTTCAAATTTGCTAAGAAGTCACAGAACACTTTCATATCACTTTTTCTGCCACAGAACCCCTGCCTCTGGTTCCACAGACCACGTGAGCTGATCCTCAATTTCTCTGCAGAACTCCTAATGACCTACTGCAGAAGCCCAGGGCTCTCAGAACAGTTTGAAAACCACTGCTCTAAGGTGTAGGCAGATGGTGCCAGTGTAATACACTAAAGTACATGAGATCTTCCCAAAACATGATTACTGCAGCAAAAACAAGTCTTTTCAAGAAAGCAGTAGAACAGTCAGGGAAAGAAAGGACAGGCAGGAAGGAGAGGATCTACAACAAGAAGTTAATGAATGCAATTCCTCTAGAAGAGCAGCTGATCCCCAAGGAGCAGAAACTGAATACAGATCTTCTGAGAAAGGGAAAGCACAAGTCATCTTCAGTACTAATAAGCACAATGGATACATCAGAAAACAGATAGGGGGAATAACGGGAGCTCAAGTTTCAAAATAAAAGGACTGAATGAGATTTAAGAGACCCATAATCAACAGAGGCGATGCCGACAAATAGAAAGTGTATGGAGTTCAGCCTTCTCTTAGGCAGGGCCAACCCTAGAGGCATGCAGGGCCTGGGGCATATCAGCCTGTGCAGCCCAGGGGACGGGGCCCAGCAAGTGGCCGGAGCACGGAGCGGCAAATGGCCGGAGCGCAAAGCCAGAAGAGCGGGGGCGCCCTCGACACTGTCCATGGGGCCCCCCCGGGGCAGTCGCCTCAATTCGGCCTCCCCACCCTGTCCCAAGGGACAGCTCTGTTCTTAGCCCACAGAAAAGCAGTCACTATCAAAAGAAACTTAGAAGACCAAGTTCTCCCAGAGTTAGGTAGAAGTTGCCCAAGAATCTGAAAACAGATTTATGGAACAATGAAAATAGACATCTTCTCTTTGAAGTCCTTTTGGAATAGGATTTGCAGGTAGTATACTTACTGGGAGCACTGGATTTTCCCAAACTAAAAGAGCAGTTAGTATGCCCATCATTTCTGAGTTCTATGCCCTCACAAGAACTGGTGATGTAGAATGGGACATTTCCCAATGACTAGTACCATGACAAACTGAAGAGAAAAGGACTAAAAATCTATTAAAATGTGGTAATATGGGGGGAAAAAAACCCTAAAATGACTAATTCTAAGCTGTATATAATGAACTGAAGTAAGTAAGTACATCAAGGCACTAGAACGAGTAGCTCCATCTTATAAGGAATACAAACAAGAAATGTGAGCAATGGTTGGGCCACTCCTCCTTTATGACTTCTTAGATAGATTCACAGATGTTAGGGTCGGAAGGGACCTCAATAGATCATCGAGTCCGACCCCCTGCATAAGCAGGAA